CTACCTCATAGGTGAGTGTGGAGAGGGCGGGAAGCGTTAACACAGGCAAACCGTGTGCCTGGTGCATAGCAAGTGCTCCATAAAACTTGCTGTGATCAGCATGGCAAGAAAAGCACCATCCTAGGTTTCGGTCCAGGCTTTCATGCTGGCCGTGTGTCTTTAAGGACATCACCTCGCCTCCATTTTCCCATCTGTGCTAAGAGGGTAGTGACAACCCACTTTACATTCCACACAGGGTGTGCTGAGGCTCGAGTGGCATCTGTGCGCGTGCACTTCTTAGACGATAAGCATTGCATGAACACTTGCAGCTGGGTGCTCTGGGGAAACGTTCACTCGACGTCCGAGAGACCTGGCCTGAGCACCAGGTTATTTAAATACTAGACTCTCTGCCTCTTTGAGGCTCGGTTTCCCCATCTCTAAAAGGAGGGAAATAATAGTGAGAGCCTCAGAGAAGCTGGGAAATGTCCTGAGAACCCCTCTCCGAGGTCTAGTCCTCACTCCCACCTTCAGTTAGTACCGGGGTCTAAGGATTTCGAATCAGGTTCAGGTCTGGCACGGCACCTTGCCCAGTCCCCTCCCACAGATCTGCCCCGAGGAGCAGCCACATCTGAGAGCCCTCCAGCTTGAAGCCTGGGCTGACTCACACACTGGCCAGCCCCCTCTTAAAGGCCCCAGAAGCCCCAGCTCGAGATAAGGATGTAACAGGAGAAAGGGTGAGCCGTCCTGTCCACCAGATCCCTTGCCAGGCAGGCCCTCAGTAAACACCCTTCTGGCAGAGGTCTTTGCAGCCGCCCCCCCCCACCCCCCGCCCGCCCAGGCTGCCTGCAAACATCTTGCCTCTGGGAGCCATCAACTCTGGAAGTGAATTCCTTGCGGCGTAAGAGGTTTCACAGCAACTTTATTCTCCGGGAGAGAGGTGGAACAGCCCTTCCCTTCTCCAGGAGCGGGGAGCAGTCAGAGGCCTGTTTAATTTAATTTAACGCACGATGGCTTGCCAGGTTGCCCCTGGTAACAGCTTCAGCTGCTGCTTCAGTTACAACCAGAAGAATTTTTAAAGAGACAGCCCATTTCAGGGCCAGAATTGCACAGCAGAGAGAATAGCTTCATCACGGAGCTAGAAGATTAAACCTCAGGCACAACAAGGTTTCAGATCAGATCCATTTAAACAATTAACTCCATTCCGTATTTACCACCCCATAAGCCCTCCTGCAAGTGTAACTCTTAAGCGGGAATCTAAAAAGGGACTGTGTGTGCGATGTCATACAGATGTCACTCATCTAGCTACTTTTCAGGAAATCAGTTTCAGTCTTCTAGTCCAGTGGTTCTCAACCTTCCTAATGCCGCGACCCTTTAATACAGTTCCTCATGTTGTGGTGACCCCCAACCATAAAATTATTTTCGTTGCTACTTCATAACTGTAATTTTGCTACTGTTGTGAATCGTAATGTAAATATCTGATATGCAGGATGTATTTTCATTGTTACAAATTGAACATAATTAAAGCATAGTGATGAATCACAAAAATAATATGTAATTATATATGTGTTTTCCGATAGTCTTAGGCCACCCCTGTGAAAGGGTCGTTCGACCCCCAAAAGGGTCGCGACCCACAGGTTGAGAACCGCTGTTCTAGTCGAAGGGGAAGGAGAGGAAACTGAGTTGTCCCTGCAATTCGAGCATACTGCCACCAGGTGGTAGTATTGTTTGCTTAGTTCAAACCATAGCCAAGCTCTTGAATTACTCAAGCATATCAGAGTGGTGGTGAAACCACTGGATTTTTAACCCCTGACACTAACTTCTGTGTGACCTTTGGTAAGTTGCTTCACCTCTGTGGTCTCAGTGTCCTCAGAGATATAATAAGGAGGTTGGTCAAAATAATTGAGTATTGTGGACAAGGCTTGAGGCTAGGACTATGAAGGCATGAGTTTAACTCCCAGCTCTGTCATGTACTATGTGACATAATTTAATTTGTTGCAACCTGAATACCAAGCAAGAGAATGGCTATGAGCCAGGGAGAGCCCTGAGGACACCACATTACTCTCCCACACTGGGGACCTGTGGAGGCGAGAAAGGTGCCTGGGACCCTCGGGGATCTGCCAAAAGGGAGCACAGCAGGGTGTGGAGAGTGGGTGGAGAGTGGATTCCAGGGCCTGAGGCCTCATTGCCCCGTGGGGAACTGAAATAGGCCACAGTGGGCAGCATGGCCTCCTAGACACCCCTAACTCCATTCAGCTTTAACCCAAACCAGGAGAACGGGAGCAAACATTAATGGAGCGAGTACTCCAGGCTGGGTGCTGCTTCACATACCTATGAGGCTGGTATTATCATCCTCCTTTGCAGATAAAGACACAGCCCGAGGTGTAACTCACCAGCCCCGTGCCAGCCACTGGCCACCAGCCTCTGCTCTTTGTGTTACAGCCCCCAGGTCTACTAACCCTGCACTCGCTTGTGGCCACACCTCCTCATAAGGAGCCTGAGAGGGGGAGCAGGTTCGGTCTCTACCTACCATGACTCAGTGTGGCCAACCTCAGAGTGGGCCTGGGGTCAGAGGTCATGAGATCACACCTACCAGCAGCCAGGGAGCTTGAGGCACACATGCCTTCAATCTTTCCACGGTCAGGACCAGATCCGAAGTCCAGGTCTTCAGCCAGCTTGGCCCACAGTGTTGTCCCATGAATCCGAGTTCCCGTCCCACATCCCAGGTCCTCTGTAGGTGCATCAGGGAAGTTACCCAGCAGCTGACCTCCGCTGTGGCTTTGGCCAGGGTTCCCCCCTGAGCTCTCAAGGATGCCCTTTAACACTTGAGACCTGCTTCTCTCCCCTCCGGACAGCCCTGTTCCAGCTAAAGCCCCCTACACACACTCCCTCATACAGAACAGGATTCCTCTCCAAGGTGAATGTAAAAACACGTTGGATCTTGGCACTCCCTGGCTCTAACCCCTTCCATGGCTCCCTGCTGCCCTGTGGATGAGCTCCAGGTCCTAAGCCTGGCACTCAGAGGCTCCCCCTGGTGTAGCCCTGCTGGCTCACCCCGCCCCCCTTCCAGCCCCCTGGGGCTGCACGCAGCCCCCGACACACCGTGCTCACTCATCTCAGCTTTTGCACACGCTGTCCCCTCCGTCTGGAATGCCTCCTCACATCGTACCCACTGGGTTGGTTCCTACTTGTCCTTGGGAACCCTGCTCTGGCTCGCTGTCCTCTGGAAGCCTGGGGGTACCCCTGGGCCTAGTAGGGTACCTCCTCCCATACCCCTGGTGTTCCTTTACTCTGGGTCTGTGGTTCTGACTTTCCTGCCAGACCAGGAACTCCTAAAGGCAGGACCTGCCTCTCTCCTCTCCTATCCCCAGGGCCCAGCCTGGGCCACACAGGAAGATACCTGGGGAGGAGCCGCTGAGAAATGCAATTAGTGGGGCCTCCTCTTGGTAGTGGATCTTGGTTCACTCACTGGGATCTGACTCACAGGTTCCCTTCCTCTCTTCCTCCCTCCAAGCTCATCCATGGCCTCCCCAGAGCAGCTGCAACGTAACTTGCGAGCTTTAGCTCCCCACACCACACCTCACAGGCCACGCTGCAGCTCACCAGGCTGCCCACACAGCTCCATGCTGAGCCCTCCATCAGTGCCCTTGTCCCCCGCCCCACCCTCTGAAATACCCCTGCCATTCAAAACCCACCCACAGCCCATCCTCTGCTAGACTTTGTCTCCATCCTGCTATATTTGCCTGCATCCCTCTCAGGGCCTTGATCAAACTCTGCCTTGTGGTGAGGGAAGCATGGGCTTTGGAGACTAACAAGGGGGTTCAAATCCCAGCTTTGACATCCGCATACTGTGTGAACGTGAGCAAGGCACTTCACCCCTCTGAGCCTTAATATGTTCCTCTGTAAAATGGGATGACACCCAGGTGTTGTGAGATTGAGGTCATCGGTACCGGGATCCTGGCACGTGGCAGGCACTCAGTCAAGCCCTATTATTTACGCCTAGGTCTGTTTCCGGCCAGGCTGCGAGCCCATCTGGGCCAGGGTGCGGCTCCCTTCAGTTCCACATCCCCACCGCACCCAACACTGGGCCTCACACCACAGATGCCCAGAAATGCTGGCTGCACTGAATGCATTCACCCCAGCTGCTAGGAGTCGGGGGCGGGGGGGAGGGATGATGGGGTCTGAGCTGAGGGAGCCGCAGTGTGGTGGGGTGAGTGCAGAAAGGAGCCTGGAGCTCATCGACAGGAGATGAATGCAGAGGGAGGGGCTGGAGCCTGAGCAGAGCTGCTGATATGCACTGGGGGTTTTATTGGTTTTCATTAAAATTCCTTCCCGAGGCAGGAACAGCTACTCCCATAAATAACAGCATAAATATTTTATCTGGTGCCCAAGTCGGTCTAAATGCACGGCAAGGTTGGCAAGAATAACGATGGGAGATGGTTCAGGGGGGTCCTGGGCCTCAGCTGAGCTCACTCAGCATGGCTTTCTCGGGAAGGTGGGAGCTGAGGGGGGTGCCAAGGGGGGGAGTGGGTGGACGGCGGG